TGGGGGACCGGGAGCCCGAGACCGCCTGGTCTGGCAGCTGTGCCGTCTGAGACTTCTTCACAGTGGTTCCATTCGCGTAACAGTCCGCAGGGGGGACAGAGCCAGAGCCCGCCTGGTCCGGCAACGGTTGCGCGTGAGATTTTCTGACATTAACGGAGGAGTCGTACCCTCGCCTCAATGCCGCCTACCACAGGGGGGACAGAGAGCCCGAGACCTCCGAGTTCGGCAGCCGTTTCGCTTGAGACTTCCTCACCAGTTATTGAATCGCTTCGCTCATTCCGCCGGCCCGTGATATGGCATCGCTGGTTTTTGTCTGTGTGTTCGTTGCCCATGTTGCGCTCTTGGGGGCGGGTGTCGTTCGGACGCATTGCGTGGGGAGTTTTGATGGTGAAGCAGTTCCCTGGGGGTCGTCTCTCGATGGGGCGAAATAGAGTCGTCGTCAAGATGCTTCTTTGGGGGGCCTCTTGGGGTCTGTTGAGAGGCCGTTCGGGGGCGCCTGGGAGACATGTTTGAAGCCTTCTGGGGCTTCTTTTGGGCCTCCTGGGAGTCTCCTGGGGCCTCTTGGCGACATCTTGGGGCCTCTTGGAGGCCTCTTGGGGCCTCTTTGGGACCTCCTGGGCGCCTTCTGGGACGGAGGGCTCCATTTTTGAGTTCTCGGTATCCCTCCTGAGTCCCTCTTGGGCCCGTCTTGGGGCCTCTTGGTCCGTCTTGGGCGGCACTTGGGCCGTCTTGAGGGCTCTCTTGGGTCGTTTCGGCGCCGTCTTGGGAGCTTCGTGGGCCGTCTTGGAGCGGTCTTGGGGGCCTCTTGGGCCGTCTTGGAGCGTCCGGAAGCCGAAAAAGCCAGAACACAAAAAACATCGAAAAAAACAATGAAAATCAACGATTTTGGCCTCTTGGGGCTCTCTTCGGAGGCCTCTTGGAAGGCTCTTGGGGCGTCTTGGAGGCCTCTTGGGCTGTCTTGGGGGCCTTTTGGGCCGTCTTGGGGTCATCTTCGGCGTCTTCGAGCGCTCTTTGGGCGTCTCGGGGGCCTCTTGGGCAGTCTTGGGGGCCTCTTGGGGCACTCTGAGCGCGCTCTGGGGAGCCTGAGAGGCCGCACCCAGAAGGAAAACCATCTCTGAGTAGACTTGGTCGGGCGGCGACCGGGCGTTGGTCGGGGTACTTTTCGCCGGGGGACCCCCAGGGGCCGCCCCGCGCGCGCGAACTAGAAATACTGTTAATACTGTTAACCAGTTACCGGAGATCTTAGCACGCCCTGGCCCGTTGGGCCGGCGAATTCAAGAGTCGTGCTCTCGCCAGCTACATTGTTTTGTCTGGACGGCCACAGGTCACACACACACACACACACACACATACACATACACACACACACACACACACACACACACACACACACACACACACACACACACACACACACACACGAATCCCACAGTTCTCACAGGTCCCGCCGCAGGTCGCACTGGCCGCGCAGGTCCCTCGAGGTCCCACAGGCCCCCCAGGTTCCACCTGCCCCACAGGTTCCACAGGCTTCATAGGTATCGCAGGTCCCACAGGTCTCGCAGGTTTCGCAGGTCTCACAGGTCCCTTTGGTCCCGCAGGTCCCACCCATAGGTGTCGCAGGTCTCACATGTCCCGCAGGCCCTGCAGGTCCCACATAATTCACAGGTCCCTCTGGTCTCGCAAGTCCCACAGGTTCCACAGGTCCCACAGGTTCCACAGCAATCGCAGGTCTCACATGTCCTAGAGGCCGCACAGGCTTCCCAGGTCCCACAGGTCGCACAAGTCTACACTTCCCACCTGCCACAGGCCACGGAGATCTCGCAGGTCCCCCAAAAAAACACAGATCGCACAAGTCCCACAGGTCCCACCTGCCCCACAGGTCCCACATGTGTCGCAGGTTTCGCAGGCCCACAGGCCAGGTCCCACAGCCCATCCCCCAGGTCCCACAGGTCCAACAGTCCCACAGATCGTACAAGTCCCACAGCTCCCACGTGCCCCGCAGGTCCCGCAGATCTCGCAGGGCTCACAGGCCAACTGGCCACGGAGGTCCCCTAGGCCCAACAGGGCCCACAGGTCCCACCCGACACGTCCCACAGGCCCACATGCCCCACAGTGTCCCACGTACCCCAAGGTCCCGCAAGTCCCACGGGCCCCACAGGCCTCACAAAGCCCACAGGTGCCCGGGGTCCCACATGCCCCACCATTCCCACGGGCCCCGCAGGTCCCGCGGGCCGCACAGGTCCCACAGGTCCCACGGGTCTCACAGGTGCCACGAGTTCCGCGGGTGCCACAGGCCCAGCAGTTCTCACGGGCCCCGCCAGCTCCACGGGCCCCGCGTGCCCCACAGCCAGCACGCCACAGGCCCCACACATACTCCGCGGGTCCAGCGGGCTCCGCAGGTCCCGCGGGCCCCCGCATGCCGCACGGGTGCCGGAGCTCCCGCGTGTCAGGCAGGTCCCCCACGCCACACGGGCCCGTTGCTGTTCTCAGGGTGGCCCGCTGGGGTGATTTGACACAGGGCCCTCCTGCATCCGTGGGGTGCTGCACGTGTTGAAGCTCCGTGCTGTTCGGACTGACGACGTCTCGAGCGAGAGCACACGTTTGAAGAATAGCAGCCCGCCACCCCTCTAAGGCGAGAGCACCACTTCTAGGCACAACCGCCCTCCATCCCTCAATTTGCTGTAACATGTTAAGCCGAAAGTGCGTGGCGCTACGGCGAGGGCACAATTTTACAAAAGTTGCTGCAGGTATCTAACATTGACTTGAAAAACGAATGTGCGCGGCGTCAGGGCGAGAGAGTCATGGAAGTACTGGGCCGCCCTCAATATTTGAGCTGCTCTAGGACTTTGGACGAGTGCGCGCGGCGCTAAGGCAAGAGCCGCATCTCGATCCTCCCATCCGTGTAACTGCTGCAGCAGTTCAAGACTGATGCGCGTGGTGCGATGGCGAGAGCCGTGTGCTGTAGAGCACCCCCTTGTTTTTGAGCCAGCCGCAAACTGTTCTGAGGAATGTCCGCGGCGCGAAGGCCAGGACCCTGTTTTTGAAACTGACCCGTGCCCCATCCGTGAAAGTGCCGCAAAGTTCAAGTTACATTTTTCATACATCGTGACTCGGAGGAAGTCTCGCGCGGAACGCCCAGTCACCTTGTCGGGTGCGACATGGAGGATCTCATTCATAGGGGAAAGGGAAGGAGGAGGAGAAAGAGGAGGAGGTGCCCTCGAGCTGAAGTCTGACCCTCGCAGATGGGACGCGGACGGGGAGGAGGAGGGTGAGGATGGCGATCAGGAGGGGCAGGGGGAGGAGGTTGGGAGGAGGGAGGAGGGAGGGAGGCTGGGAGGAGGGAGGGAGGCAGGAGGTGCAGGCGCGAGAAACCGGAGCGAGGAGGAGGCACGAGGAGGGCGAGGCACGAGGGGGACGAACGAGGACGAGCGAGGAGGACGAGCGAGGAGGACGAGCGAGGAGGACGAGCGAGGAGGAGCGGTGGGGCGGAGGAGGAGCGAGGGAAGGGGCGAGGAGGAGGTCGGCCGTGGGCGAACGAGGAGGACGAACGAGGAGGACGAACGAGGAGGGCGAACGAGGAGGGCGAACGAGGAGGGCGAGCGAGGAGGAGGGCACGAGGAGGGCGACCGAGGAGGACGAAAGAGCAGGATGGCACGAGGAGGGCGACCGAGGAGGACGAACGAGGAGGATGGCACGAGGAGGGCGAACGAGGAGGACGAACGAGGAGGAGGAGGAGGAGGAGAAGGGGACGAGGAGGGCGAACGAGGAGGACGAACGAGGGGGCCGACCGAGTCTAGGCCTCCCAGATGGGGCCCGAGCAGATGGGGTCGGAGGATCGCGCCGCATCTCCGATGCATCGACGATGCGGCTCGATGCGGAGCCCGATGTCCTTCACGCCGACGCCGCTGATGCATCGCCCACGTCGACGATGCATCGCTGGTGCATCGCCGGTGCATCCCCGATGCATCGCCGATGTATCGGCGATGCGGCGTGATCCCCCGACCCCATCTACTCCGACCCCATGTAAGAGGCCTCGACCAAGGAGGACGAGCGACCAGGACGAACGAAGAGGAACAATCAAACAAAACACCACCACCAACGACAACGACAACGACAACAGCAATAGCAACAATCATTTTAGGACTGTTCGCTCTTACGTGCTCGCAGACCGTTGATAACTTATATCCCAAGCCCTCGGTGCCCGCCCTCTTCGTCTGCGATCGTGCCCCCTTGTGGGTATATCTTCCTTACCTGCCACGCGCATGTGGCGCAGCCCCTAGGACAAGGGAAGGGATGATGGATGGAAGGGGGAGGGAGAAGGACGGAGCACGAAAGGGCGTAGCACGAGGGGTGCTAGGAGCAGAAAACGCGTGGCAGAACCAGACGGGTATGTTGGGCGGGTAGACCTTGACAGGCGGGTCGGAAACCCGGGCCCAAGCGGCCAGGTCGAGCAGGCGGACTGCTGAAGCGTGGGCAGAAATCGCGAAGAACTCTCGAGCGATAGCGCGATTCCCAAATATATCGTGAGAAAGGGCATAGCGACAGCGTGATTCGTAAGGCTTGGAGGCGCGATGCCTGAATCAATTGCGAGGAAGTCCCACGCGAAAGCGCCATTTCTGCATTGATTGTTAGGAAGTATTAGGCGGGAGCCGTCGTTGTTGTAACTCTGGGGCCAGGGGCACAGTTTGACGATCAAGGCTACTCCTGATTAAAAACAGGGTGCGAGCCCCGGAAGGTGCACTTCAATTGAAGAATGCACAGTGCATCGGGCGGTGTGGCTCAACAATCGTGATTCTTCAGACATGAGAATTCAGAAGCAACAATCACAACGACAGTAACAATAATAACGACAAGGTCAGCAACAACGACAACACCAACAACAACAGCAACAATAACAACAACAACAACCACAACAACAACAACAACAACAACAACAACAACAACAACAACAACAACAACAACGACAATACCAACAACAACAAACAGCCAACCGTCAGCAGGCCGTCGGGAGCACCACGCTCGGCCTCGCCTACGGCCTCAACGCGGCGGAGCTCGTGGTGGCTGCGGCGGGGCGCTCGGGGGGGTCCGCAGGGCTTCGGCCCCAGCGCGCGGCAGGCAGCCTGGGCCGGACGAGGCTCGGGGGCGGCCAGCAGGGCAAGCAGTGACGCTGCGTCTTGGCTTGCCTATAGGCCCATCAAAGACTGTTCTGAGAACTCTTCGTGGTCTGCACGAAGTGTCCTTTGTCTTGCCTTGACACCTTGGGTCTGTGCTCCACGAACATTGTTTTTGCTCCTAGGTCATATTTGTGTTCTACGAACTCCTCGTGGTGGGCCTATAGGAATGCTGGGACGGTCTGTCCGTGCTCAAGGAGGCGAGTGATGACCAGCAGGGGGAATATCATGGCGGGGGCCATGATACGTCCCCAGATGTTATGGCACCTCCTCTTGTTTCAATGCGTCCACGGCACACCCCCTTGGGCGGCGCACGTGCCGCCGGCCATGATTTGCGCCCCCCCCTCTTGGACGCCCCCGAGAGGAGGGGCCGACGACACGTAAGAGTGACCCTTCGCTGGAGTGACTTCTGTGGCGGGCTCGCTAGGGTCTCCCCGATGGCTGAGCGCGATGCGACAGTGGCTGCTTACGTTCTTGGACTCGGCCGCCTTGCACCCGCTGGATCCGCGCACTAACGGTCACTCTTGCCCAGGGTCATTCTTCCGTGTAGCCGGGCGATGTAACTGCGAAATGATTGTGAAAACATTACGGCCGGTGCCGCCGACCTTGAAGGAGGACGACGAGGACGACGACGACGACGACGACGGCGACGACGGCGACGACGACGACGACGACGACGACGACGACGACGACGACGACGACGACGACGACGACGACGACGGTGGCGACGGCGACGACAGCGACGACCGCGACGACGACGACGACGACAGCGACGACCGCGACGACGACGACGACGACGACGACGACGACGGCGACGACGACGGCGACGGCGACGACGGCGACGACCGCGACGACGACGGCGACGACGACCACGGCGACGACGACGGCGACGACGACCGCGACGGCGACGACGACGGCGACGGTGACGACTACGCCGACGCTGACGCTCTGGAGCCGAGAGCTCCTCCTAGGAAGGGGTGCTTCCCCCCACTCCTCCGACGATCTGGTGCTTCCAAACCTGAGGTTCGGGGGTAGACAGAGCCCCCAACAGTGACACGTCGATTAGTGAATTGTCCGTTTTCGGTTCTCGAGATGGCGCCGTGGCCGTTATTTTCCAGGCTTGCGCCCGCCAGGTTTGGGCCTCAGGTCGTCTTCACTAAACCACGTTTTTCTCAAGGGGGGCTGTCCATCCCCGAGAGGTCGCCCTCTGATTTCGGCCTCTTAGAGTTATGTCGGGCGTGTCCCCCTACACGGGGATTTCCAACGAAACATAAAGAAGACCCCAAAAATACCCCCAAAAAGGTCAAAACATATTCAAAAAATAGTCCCCAGACTATTTTGGGATCACGTTTTGATTATTTTTGAGGTATCTTTTAGTCTTCGTCGAGAATCCCCCTGTACGGGGACAGGCCCGACGTAACTCTAGAGGGCCGGCCATCGGGCCCCGGGGGCCATCAGAAATGGGCCCATGGGGGGGGGGAAGTGGCAGGGGCCCCTGGGGCCGCGGACGGGGAGCAGCGCATCGGCGGGTGGGAAGAAAGGGGGGGAACCAACATCTGACTCGATCGATCTCACTCTCAATCTCACTCAACGGGACACCACGGGACACCACGGGACAATTGTCGATCTCACCATCGATCTCACTCGACGGGACACCACGGGACACCACGGGCCACCACGGGACATCACGGGAGCGGGCGGCGGTACGAGAGCTGCCGCGTGCGGCCAGGTTCGGCCTCGCCTCCCTGGGCGCACTCCTCGATGCACGGGCGCCGGAGGCGCCAGGAGAGGCAGCTGCCTGAGCTGAACTGGCAGGCCGTCGTCGTCGTCGTCGTCGACGTCGTCGTCGTCGTCGTCGTCGTCGTCGTGGTCGTCGTGGTCGTGGTCGTCGTCGTCGTCGTCGTCGTCGTCGTCGTCGTCGTCGTCGTCGTCGTCGTCGTCGTCGTCGTCTTCGTCGTCGTCGTCGTCGTCGTCGTCGTCGTCGTCGTCGTCGTCGTCGTCCGGCCCCAAAGGGGGCGCCGGGCGGCTCGGGCCCCCGTCGATCGCGGCGGGCCGCTCGGGGGGCTCCCAGCGCGCCGCGGCGCCGCCCTGCTTCGGCAGCACCGTCGGCGGGGGCGGCGGCGGCGTTGGGTACGTAAGGAAACGTCTGCAAGCCACGCGCAGAGGGGGGTGAGGGGAGGGGGGAGGGCTTCTTAGAAGCACCCCTGCTTCTCAGAAGGCGCGGGCCTTATCTATAGATGTAAGGCCGCTCGGGGGGCTCCCGGCGCCGTGGCACCGCCCGCTTCCGCGGCACCCGTGGCGGGGGCGGCTGCGGCATTGGGTAAGGAGCGTCTTCCTGGGGCCCAGGCTTATGTCAGGCGTGCCCCCCTACAGGGGGACTTTCGACGAAAAACAAAAGATACCCCAAACATAGTCAAGACATAGTCCAGAAGTAGTCTGGGGACTATTTTTTGAGCATTGTTTGACCCTTCTGGGGTATGTTTAGGGTACTTTTTATTTTTCGTCGAAAATCCCCCTGTAGGGGGACACGCCCGACATAAAAGCCCAGCCCCTGGCGCATTCCTTACTGTTTCAAGGCGAGGTGGGCGGCCCACGTTTGGCCGCCCATCGATGGCGAGATCCTGGGTTCCTTACCGAAGGCTGAGACATTGCCGGAAGTTGCAACTTTAGGGCCGCTTTCTGGCATTGCAGCGCTGCCCACCTCGTGGAGGGTTGGGTTCGCCCGGTCACTGGCCAAAGTGCCCGTCAGCGGAGTCCCCGTGAGAGGGGCGCTGACTGCTGGCCCAGGGTTCCGGCGCCTCGGGCAGGAGCGAGGTGGCGGGGCCGAGGCAGAGGGCGAAAGCAAGGGCGCGGTCCGAGGAGGGCGAGGCGGGCACGGAGGGGGGCCCGCGGAGGTGGTCCTCCTCCTCCTCCTCCTCCTCCTCCTCCTCCTCCTCCTCCTCCTCCTCCTCCTCCTCCTCGTCCTCCTCCTGGAGGAGGTGGCGGAGCGGGAGGGGTCCGTCCCGGGAGGGCCCTGATATCGCTTCTTCCGCCGCCCTGCTCGTCACAGAGGCCGCGGCGTGTGCAGCCTTCGTGTCGCAGGAGCTGAAGGCGGAGGTTCTTCGTCGTTATGCGGCGTCAGGGTGGCCGCTTCTGGGCCCCCGGGGGGGGCCGCCCGGAAGCCATCGGGGATGAGCAACTGGTCCTTGGCGAGGGAGCACAAGGAATCTACTTGCGCCAGGAGGCGCCGGCGTGGCTGCCGACACTCATCACCACCGCGGATGGCGCCGTCGACTCGAAGGCAAGGAGTGCTCCCGGGCCAAAGGGAGCCTTGTTGGCGCTCCAGGGCGGCACTTGCATGTGCTCGAACGGCGGGGCAGGCACCCCCAGCGCCACTCTTGGCCACGCGCAGAGGGGGTAGAGGAAGGGGGAAGGCTTCGCAGAAGCACCCCTGCTTCTTAGATCGGGTGCAGAAAAGAGGGGGGTGATGACTAGGGGAGGGGTGGATATCATGGCGTGGGCCATGATATTTCCCAGATTTCATGGCGCCTCTTCGTATTTCATTACGTCCCTGGCCCCCCCGCTGGGCTGCGCACATATGCCGCCGGTCATGATTTGCACCCCCCCCTCTTTGACGCCCCCCTCTTTGCCGCTCCCGATGAGAAGGCGTGGGCCTTGTCTGTGGATGGAAGGCTCGCGCCTGCTAAGATGCAGCCTGCTCCTGAGACGCCTCCCCCCCTCCCCCCGCCCCCCTCCTGCGCGCCGCCAGGCATCAGGGAAAGCCCGCCTGCCGCAGAGCGCCGCAGCTCCAGCACCGGGGCGGCAGCCACCACCGCGCTGGCCTTGACAGGGAACGGCCACGGCCTCCCCACGCCCGGCGTCGCACACAGTCGGGGCCCTGAAGAAGGAACCCTTCTCGTTGGGGAGGGGCTCGGTCGAATCCTTCTCGTTGGTTTACCCCAAAATTGATTCCTCGGTCGAATCTACGGAGCTTTCGACGTACTCGTTTCGAGACTCGACGAGAAAATCAATTTCAGGGTAACTCAATATTGTACAGTCGGGGCCCTGAAGAAGGAACCCTTTTCGTTGGGGAGGGGCTCGGTGTTCCTTGATTGTTTCACAGCCTGCCTCAGGCTTTCCTTAGGTTTTCGACAGGAAATCGAAGCTTAACTTATGGAAAAAAGGGGCCTCGTTCCTTATTTGGGGTTCCTTAGGTCAGCGCCCCGACTGTACCCATCCAGTGGACCGCGTCGTGGGAAGACGCGGCGCCTGCGCTGCGATGCGCAGACTTCCCCGACTCGGCGCTCGCAGGCTCTGGCGAAGGACCGTGCGCCAACCGACAGCGACCATCGCTTCACCGGCCAGCGCCAGAGTGGCCAGGACGCCACGCAGGCGCCCGACGAGGCGAGCCACGGGAAGCATGACAGCGCCGCCCGCTGCCACTGTGGCCGTCTCTGTGTCCAGATCCTCTGCGCCAGCTGCGGCGAGGAGTGCGCGGGGGAGGACGCCTCCTGCATTCGGCGCGATCCCCTTGATGCGGTCTTCGGGCTACCGGCTGGCAATCCCACGCGGGGCCGGAGCTTCCTGGCCAGAGCCCGCACCAGCGCCCTCCGCCGGGGCCGAAGCTTCCTGGCCAGAGCCCGCACCAGCGCCCTCCGCGGCGCTGCTCCGCGATCTCCCGCGTCCGCCGAGCAAACTAGGGGGCCACTTGCGAACCCTACCCCTACCACCCACGACTTCTGAGGGGGAGGGTGGGGTTCACTTCGCTCGATAGCTCCCGAACGAAGTGAACCCCACCCTCCCCCTCAGAAATCGTGGGGGGTAGGGGTAGGGTTCGCATGTGGCCCCCTACAAACACGAGCGGCACGAGGAGGGCGAGCCGGAGGACGGCGAGGAGGAGGCGGGCCACGACGGCG